CTCAACAATATTGCTGAAATTCTAAATCTAACCCTTAGTTTTATTCAGAGCTTCGAAATTATTTTATAAAATTTTATTCACATAGCAGCAAAGTTGAATTCAATTAACAAATCTTCAAAACTCATACTAAAAATATGACAGTTCTTGCCTAAATACAAAGAGTAAAATACAACTTTGAAGATCTGTGCATATCCCCAAAAATATGCAATTTAATTTGGAGTTTATTATTCGAAAATAATCTGTAACCTCCCATTATTTATGATTTTTCGAGATTTAAAAATTCACAATATACCATAACATTATTATTATAACACATATTATATAATAAAAATTTTAACAGATCATAAATCACATTATATTTAAGAATTCCTGTTTAATTCTACATTTTATATATTCTTTTATTATAGAAATTCTTCAAAAAAAAAAAAACATTTACAAAAAATTCTTTAAATATTAATTTAAAAATTTCTTTTGAAATTATACCACACCTAATATCATATTTACAACCACCTGGACACACAACATTTTTATACATGCAATATTTTAAAAAAATCATATTACAATTCAATATACATATGTATATAAATATCAATTTTGTATATAAAGAATAAAATTAGTGGAAAACCACTTTACATTGTTGATATTCTCTAAAATTTTTTCTTTTAAAAGAAAAAAACTTAATGAAATTATACTCGTATACCATTATTCTTTAACATGATAGTAAATATTATAAAAGGTACATAAAGTTAAGCATTTAAATTGTCCATAATATTAATAGTATAATAGTACACAATATATATGTTCATGTATACATTCAAGTAACATATATTTATGCTATTATAATAATAATAATAAAAGACTTTAGAATTTAACACCTTAAATTCGCACCCTCTGTCTCTCTATGCTCTCAATAGAACGCTTATTATTTTTTATATTATTAATATGAAACAAAAGAATATAATAAAAAAAATGAGAAGAATTTAACAACAACAAAAAAAGTATATAACAGAAAAATATTTTTTTTTTTTTTGAGTTTTTTTATATTGAACTAATAAAAGTAAAATTTAAGTGAGAAAATATAATAATTTTGATGGTTTTTAATGTAAAATGAGAGCAGATATGGAAAATGTTAGGTTAACTGTTAGCATTTATAGAGATATAAAGTAAATATAAGAGTAGATATAAATAAGAGTAAATTTAGAGTATGAGCATAATAATTTAAAGAATGTTATAAAAAAAATGAAAAAATAATAAGAAAAGAGATAGAGATTTTAGGAGTTTAAACATTATATTGAGAAAATGTCTACAATGCAATGCAATCTAAAAGAGCATGTTATAAACATGATGTAGGCGTGAATTAATAAATGATACAAGAACAAAATGAGTTGAATTCGAATGGAATGAGTATATTTTATGTAATATACTATAAAGTAGACGTACATATGTATTCTGTTAATGGAAGATGGTGAGTTTTTCTTATATGACTTGATTTAATATCATGTTTTAGTATTATTCTATATTTACGGTCATATTTTTTTGTTATTTTAAATTGTTTTGATTTTTATGTGATACAATATACATAATGAGTTATCATGTTTTATGAGGTTATTTATTTTATCTCATTTTCTCTTATTTTTGGCCCCTAAAAATAAAAATTTATATGTTGTATAGAAAAAATTTTCTTTTTATATTTTGATATTTTGTATTTTGTATACCGAAAAATATTTAATATGGAAATTTATTCCTTATACATGATTTTTTCTATAATATAGTAGCAAAAAAAAAATAAATTGAGAATCAAATCTATGATATAATATTGAAAATACATTGAGAAAAAGGAAAAACCAAAAAAAAAAATTCGAATACAATAATATTGCATTTCTCTTTCGCACTCACCCCACTCTCAGATCATATTTTTAAAATTATATAATCAGTGCTGCCAAATAGAATAGCTCAAACATCTTCAGTTTTCAAAATAAAATCTTCATTTTGAAAAATTGATACAAAAAAAAAACAAAATCTTCACAAACGATTTGAGATATTCAATTGAAATTTAATTTAAAGAAATATAGAAAACCAAAATATCGCGATTTCAATTCGAACCCAATCAGACACCAAACATAAAAATTAATGACATACAAAATGAAATATGATGTCATAAGTCATTTAGTGAACGCGTCAAGTCATCTAATATAAAATTCAATAAAATATCAAAAATTTTCTGTCATGGATGTAACGTTACCATATACGTTGCCTATTAAATTCACTTTTTGGTCAAAATGTTTTATTGTGAACTTTGGAAAATATGTAAAAAAGTGTTAAAAATTTAATTTCTAAAAAATTTCAATAGCATTAAAACCTTAATTTTAAAAATATTTTTTATGAAAAATTTAAAAATTTTAAAAATTTTATTTTGAAATTTTGCACAAAAAAATATGACCAAAAAGCCTTCATTTTGAAGATAAATCCGCACCTTTGGCAGCGTTGTATAAAGTCTCAAGTTTTTCATTTTTTTTCTCTGTTTCTCTCTCTTTTTGTTTTTTAAATTCCAAAAAATATAAAAATAAAATGTAAATTGTCTCATAAACCTGTAAATCTTTTAAGAATCCTTTTTTTTTTCATTTATTGTTTCCTTTTTTTTTGTTATTATCCTTTTTGTTCTTTTACAGTAATTTCACATAGAAAAAAGAATTGTATTTCATTATTATTTTGTAAGACAAAAGGTTGTTTTTTTTTTGTGTTCTCTTAAGATTCTGTTGTATAGTTTTTTAAGTTAAAACCGAAAAATTAAGAAAATAAAAAAAGAACAAGAGCAAAAATAAAAATAAAAAAAGGGAAACTGATTTAAGAATAATTTAAAGGGAAGTCAATAAAATTGGCTGGATAACAGTAAAAAAAAACAACACAAAAGGAAAATCGAAAATAAAAAATGAAAAAAAAAAGTCAAGGAACCCAAAATATTTTTGTTGTTTTTTGTGTAAAATCAAAAAGAAAAGAAAAATATTAGTCCTAGATTTCAGATTTTCTCTTTCTTTTTAATTTTTCTTCTTTTTTAAAATCTATGTAATAATATTATAAGAAAAAAGGATTGTTATAAGGATACACAAAGTTATTTTTAGTAAATTATCGAAAGAATAAAAATAACAGAAAAAAAAAATAAGTGAAAAATTTGTGGAACCTTTCTTTTGTATTCAGTTCAAATAGAGACCTACTTTTTATCATGAGCAATTCATAATAATTGCGTGTAGGTTGTCATTTTATTAAAAAAAAATTTATCGAATTCATTAAATTTGACTTGAACTTTAAAATATCGACATGATTTTTTTTTAAATATAAAATATTTGGAAATTTAATTTAAAACCAAACCGTATTTTTAAAAGATAAAGCTATTAATTTTAGGAACAATGCTCAGACAATGTTCAAAATTCAGACCTTTTATGGAATTTTGCAAATATCGTATATGCTACAATTTATTAAACAATTTAATTAATAATTAAGAAATCCATTTCCTCAATTACAGCTAAATTAATCTGAACACTTTTGATCCGGCTGGTACACATATATACTAGTGAAGTCCAAACATCCCTAAAAGCTTAAACTGGTAATGTATTTGTTTCTCTGTCGTTTTTACATGATTGGGTGAATTGAATTTGAACGCGACTTTTTTCATCATAGACAGTTTCTTTTATATAAAGGCAGCAGATTTCACATATGAAATATCTGCTAATTACACTATTCGAAAGCCGGGTCGTTAGGGTTAAGGTAATGAAACTTAATAAATTATTTTGACCTTAAATTTTGTATACACAGATAATTTTCTTTAAGATTTTTTTAAAGTACTTAACTCCTATACGTAATTCGAGCATTTACACCTTAAAAATGACAATATTATTTAATATAAACCTTAATATTCATAGGTTTTTTTTCGTAAATATAAAGATGACATGAAAAAATAATTCATAAAATTAGAAATTTATTGAATTAATTGCGAATAAAATGCAATTTAAGAGCATAATTAATATTTCTCACATTGAATAAAAAAATAAATCAAAATTTTGTGTTACAATTGAAAACCACAAAAATTATTAAAAATTGTAGCACAAACTTGAATTTCTCATTTTTCAAAAGAAATTACTCTGTTATTGGTAGAAACAACTACTTATATAGCAAAACTAAATTAAATAACCACAATTTGTTTTCAAAAGTTTAAGCCTATTCCAAATGAACTACACCTATATAATAAGCACCTTGCTACACCTCAGTACCCCACTATATTTCCCAAATGTCATCGAAAAATATTTTCATATTTTATTATAAATTGTCCTTTATAAAATTTTGCCAAACCAAAACATAAATTTATTTGAAAGAAAAAAAAAATATTTTAAAAAAAAAGTTAAAAATTTAAAAAAAAAAAATTTCCATAAAAATCCTGATAATCCTTTTTATTCTTATTTTGCTTTTTCTTTCATTCAAAATCTTCCTCTAACATTCACATAGCAATGCATTAAATTCCCTTCCTCTTTCATTAAGTAAGTATATGTAGGTATGTATCTAAGATTTTTGGTTAGTAAATCCTTTTGATTATTTTTTATTATTTAAAAAAAAAGCAAAACGAGTAAAAACAAAAATTCAAATGAGAAGAATGGAACCTAATCAAATCACACCCCAGCTAAAAAAAAAATCGAAGAAGATAAAAAAAAAATAAATTATAATAAAAATATTTGAAATGGCTACCAAATACAGAATCGTAGTAAACGAAACTTTCTCTTCTTCAGCCCAATATATACATATATATATATAAATTGTTATCCTTTTTGCAATAACACAAAAATTTTAAGGCAAAAAAAAAATATTATAAAGAAGTGGCATTTTTTTTCTTTTTTTGCTCATTTTTATATTTCTAAGGATACGTTATCCTTTTTTTTATATATATATAATAAACACTCTATACGTTTTATTGTTTCTTTAATAACATATATATGTATTATATATGAACATACCTCAATATATCCTTGAATACTATCACATTGTTCTAACATCAATAAAGCTGGATTGAATTTCAATTCATCTGGTGAATTTGGACTTAAAAAACCACTATCAGCATCACTATTTGTTGACAACGGTCTTGGTTTACGTATTTTATATTGATGTTGGACAATACCATTACAATTATTTATATTTGTATTAGTTTTTATTGTTTGTATCCTTTTATTATTAATATTATAAATTCGACCCGTATTAAATAAAATACAATTTGATTCAATTGGTATTGTACGATTACGATAATTTATTTCATTTGTATTAGAACGTGGTACTAAAATAATACGTTGTATTGAATGTTGATGTTTCTGATATTGTTGGTCTTGCTGCATTTGTTGTTGTTGTTGTTGTTGCTGATGATTTTGATATTGATTATTTTCATTATTATAATAATGATTTGCTAATGCATAACGTATTGAATTAACATTTGAAAGTGATTTACTTAATATCATTGTATTTAATATAATTTGCTGCCGATGTTGTTGCTGCTGATGATGGTGTTGCTGTTGTTGTTGTTGCTCTCCTTCTTGCTGTTGTAATTTATCTTGTTCATTTAATAAATTATTTTCATTTTCTAATAATTTACAATCATTTAAATTTGTTGAAATTGTTGCATTCGTTGAACTTTCTGTTGTTGCCAATGATGATGATGATGTTAAATTCTGATCATCAACACTTGATGTTGTTGATGTTGCTGATGATGATGTTGAAGATTGTATTGATGTTGATGATATTTGTTGTTGCTGTTGTTGAACTTTTAATAAATTATTATCTAATATTTTCGTATTATTTTCAATAAATTCTTTTTGATCTTGAACACAATATGATTGATTATTTTCATGTTGTTTTTGTTGTTGATGATGATGTTGTTGTTCATCATTTGATGATTGATTTTTAATATTATCAATATCAATTGTAAAATAATTATGATATGTTGAATCAGTATCACTATGATGTCCATTTTTTAATATATTTGTATAAATAGCTTCATCACTACCAGCTGAATATGCATCAGCTGTTTCATCATATATAATTTCTTCAACAAAATCATTATCATTATTATAAGGCAAAGAATTTATTGGAAAACATTGTAAATTTGAATCTATTCCACGTATATCATTATTTCTATTATTACTAATAATATTACTATTAATACTACTATTACCACAACTAACACCACCACCACCACATGTATTATCTAATAAATTTATATTATTTGAATTATTTTGATAATATGATTGACGTTGATGATTATCTAATGGAAGCTTATAATCATTACTTAAACTTATTAATGTATTATTAACACAACCACTACTAATTGTATTATTTGTAGTACAATAACTACTAATAATACTTGCCGCACCACTATTATTACAACCACCACCAATATTACTATTTAAACCAATACCAGATGTACTTAATGATTTTTCATTAATAAAATCAACACTTGGATCAAATAAACAATAATTATCCATATGTTGTATAACACTTTTCTTTTGTCTTACCGGTAAATTTTTTAACATACTTGAAGTAAATTCCGGTTTTGTCAAAATATCATCTGGTGATGTACCATTATTTTGATTTAAATTATTGCCAATATTACTTGTTGAATCACAAATTATATAATCATTTTGTAATGAATTTGAATTTGGTATTAATGGTAATTCATCTTTAATATTATTAAAAGATTTTAATGATGTTGTAGTAGTAACAGCAGCAGCTACTGCATTACTACTTGTAGAAATTCCAATTGTATCATTTTCATTAATTGTTGCTGATGTCGATGAATTTTTTATTGTCGAATTTGTTGATGTCGATGATGATGATGAAGATGATGATAATGATGATGATAATGAAAATAAACCACGACTATTTATTTTTGCAATGCAATTTTTTAATTCAGAAACACGTCCCTTATATGATGGGCTACTTGAATTACTTTTTGTTGCATTTTTTGTTGGACTATTTTCAGTACTTGATGATCTTGATGTTTGACTATTATTATCATTAATTGATTTATTAATACTATTAAAACTACTTATACTACAACTATCTGAATTTGTTATTGTTAATGAATTAAATTCATTTGAACTTAAAGATGATGATGAAGGAAATTGTATTGTTGTTGTTGTTGTTCCTGTTGCCAATCCTTGTCCACATATTGTGGTTGTTGTTTGAGGTATTAATGTTGTTGTTCCCACTATTTGATTTGAATTATTTCCAGTTCCTGATGAAAACGATGATATTGATATTGAATTCGATGATGATAATGATGTTGATGATTGATGTATTGATGATATAATTGAATTTTGTTGTAAACCATTTTTAAATGATTCAATTTTTTCTTGTGTTACTTTAATTAAATTTTTTTTATTTGAATTTTTTATATTATTTGAATTATTTGTTGTTGAATTTTGTTGTTGTAATTTATGTTGATCATCTGATGTTGATGATGTTTTTGTATTATTATTAATATTAATACGATTAAATGATGGTAAATGACTTATTGGTGGTGGTGTTGGTGGTTGTGGTGAATTTGAATTTATTATTGTTTTATTATTCTGTTGTTGTTGTTGTTGCTTTGAATTTGTTGTTGTTACATTTGTATTTAAATTTAATTTTGCTGTTTGCATTTTAAAATAGAAAAGGAACACTTTTAATTTTTTAGTTTTCCTTTAAATTTTGAATCAAAATATTTCGAATGAATTGCATTATTTCTTATATGTATATTGGGGTTCACTTTTTAATAAAATTTTAAGTTTTATTTATTTTGAATTGCAGCAGATCATTTCTTAAACAAAAATCGGAAAATTAGCGAATAATTTAAAAATTTTAGAAATTTTGTTAAAAATGCGAAAATTGTACATAAAATAAATTAAATGCAAGTGTAAAATATTAAAAAAACATTTTCGAAATACACTAAGGGTTTGAATAAATTCATGCACAACACCCTATTTAAATATGCACTTTTTGTAAGTAGTAATTATATTTTCAATATGAGATCCAGACAATATGTTATTCTTAAAATAACAATTATCTAATAATAGAATAATTATAAAATTACTAATATCATTTTTTACTTTTAAATTATAATAGAGCACTCTATACAAATCACTTGAATTTCATATTTTCATTCACAATATGATCTTATATTTCGTATTTTAATTTTACATAAATTAAATTTTAAGCATTTATTCTTAAATTCACAAAAATTTAAATTCATATTTCATATACAATTTAATTACAAAATTTTATTACACATTATATTTATTTTACAAAATTTTCAATATAAATTTTTTGTTTGATTTTCCTTTTTTTTATATTTAATTATTATTATTTTAATTTTCTTAATATCAAAATTATTAGTTTACATATGGACCATATTAGTATTATTCATTCTTTAATTAAAAAATTAATTTAATATTATTAGTTTTTAAAAGGATAATTTTTGCAACTAATGAATTGTCTATACAACTTCATATGGAATGAAATTAAAGAGGAAATTAAATTTACAATAAAAGAGAGACAAAAGAGAGAAATATTTTTTAAAAGAAAATGAAAATTAATAACAAGAAAATTGGAAAAAACAAACAAAGATTTTTTTCTTGTCGAGAATTTTCAAATATTGTACTAGTCCTTTCTTTGGTCCTTTGCATTTTCTTTAGGTTTTTTTTTTTTTGTTACTACTCGTATCATATATGCAATTTCAATTGTATTATTACTATTGTAGTAATAAAATTACTAGAGATAAAACGCAAAAAAAACAAAAATTGTTAAAAGAGTGAAAACAAAGCATTTGTTTTGTTTCACTTTAATCGTTTGCTCTTTTTTTATTCTAGTATTCTAGTATTGTGCTCTTTGTTTTAATTTTTTTTTATTTTTATATTGTCCTCTCCTTGTACTTTTCTTTATAATACTGAAGGAAAGTTATTATTTTTTTTTCGCCTCTCTTTGGAATTCTTGAATTGTAAAGACGATTCAAATCGATTGTTTACTAGACTGCGACAGTAGTAATTTTTTCTGGTTTTATGTGTTTTACTTGTTGTAGTCTTTTATTATAAGAGAAAGGGGAGGATGAATTTTTTTCTCTTACAAGTTATTTACTTTTCTGCTCATTTCTTCTTAAGTAAATCTTTGCCTTTTTTTATTTTGTTTTTGACTCTATTTAGAACAAGAAAAATAAAAAATTAATAAGAGAAAAAAAAAAGTTCAAAGACTTTGTCCTTTTTTCAGTTGAAATCAAAGTTCGAGGTTAATATCCTACAATTTTTATTTGTTTTTTTTTTTTTTAATGTGATACAATAATCGATGTTTATTTTGTACAAAATTTTATGTTCACATTAAAAATTACTTCAAGATTCAATTTAATTTAATAAAAAATTTTATTATTAAGGTCTCTGTTTTATGATTCTAACAATTCAATTAAATTGTATGCACATTAAATTATAAAAAAAAATCTTTACTCAAAAATTTCAATTTTTAATTCATTCCACTTAATTGAATTTGTTATTTTAAATTAATTTTTTAATAATATTTTTTAATAAAAATTTTATTGTATTTGTAGGATTTAAATTGATTAATTTTTTTTTATTTTATAATTATTAGAAAATATCATATTATAAATTTAGAACACTTCACAATTTTAATCTCATAATTTTTAACATACCTCATTGAAAATTAAATTAATAACCAATTTTTCGTAAATATTTAATAAATATGGCTAATTTTTTATTTAATTTTCATTAATTTTTCTTTGTTTTTATTTTTTTTTTTTGACAAATTTATTGAAATTTATTTTTAAATATTTAAAATTTTTTGAATACAATTAATTTATTATTAATTTTTAATTCAAATATGATAAATTAATGGAGCTATTAAAAATAATTGCATACTATTGATTAATATTTAATCTCAAAAAAAATTGCATACATTTAGGACGATATTGGAAAAATGCTTATTCTTTCTAGTTGAAGGAAGTTATAAGAAAAATTTCGCAAAGGGAAAGTAATATTAGTGTACTATGCGGTTGGTTAATTTCACTTTAAATCTTGAAATGTTATAGTGCAATTAGAGCTACACTTTCTACAGAATTCTAAAATATAGAGAATTTGATGAGCAAGAACAGCATGGACGATCTCTTTTAATAGTTACAATAATTTGTGGCATAGCACTCCTACATAATAATATGACAATAATGCGATAATATAAAAGATTATGAATTTAGTTATTCTTTAAAGGATATTTGATTGCAAATTCAATGCAACACCATCGGAGCACTTAACAATTTTATACATTTACTTATATTTTTGAATTACATATTAGTTTCTTACGAAAATAATAATTAGGAAAATATTATTACAACGCATTTGAAAAATTAGAAATTTTCAAAAAAAATTGTCTTTATTTCTTATTGTATAAAATAACTTTTTCTATTATTTTCGAATATTTTAATTTTTACAATATATTCAAGCACTTTTAAATTCCTTGAATAACTACTGTTTTTGGCACACATTTAATTTTCAGTTGAAAAGAAAGTTTTAACCTCAATTTATAACAGATTTCATTAACAATTATTGTTATATCATTTAAAACTGAAAATTTTAAATATGTACATTTCAGATCCAGAAAATTTCTAATTATTAATTTATAAAGGAAACCGGTCTTAAATTTCGATTTGAATTTTCAATAAATCAAAAATTGTAATAATAAATTATGTAAATAAATTCAAATTAAATTTTTAATTAAAAATTTTCAATACAATAATGCTTAAGATAAAACGCCTAATGTAAATCTTATAGTCGTCCTTAATTAATATCCTACTAACGAGTATATCCTACTAACTATAAAATAATTAAAATAGTATAGATGTTATAACTTATATGTTTAGTTTTAAAAATTATTTTCTAGAATTCTAATTATATTTTATATGAAATGCTACATAATATACACAATATTATAATTTTCTTCTTGAATTATTTTAAGTCCTTGTCAAAATTTATTATAGAATAATTATTTATGAAATCATTCAAGTAAGAATTTTAGCTATAGTAATAAATTTTATTGCGTATAAATAAAATTCTCAATAGAATTAATGTTGTAACAATTAAATATTAATATTATTATTATCATCTTTGGGAATTTATTTATTTAAAATATTATAATTAACAATATACGTATGTAATATAAATTTGAAAAAAAATAATTCTCGAACAGATTTTGAGAATATAAAGGCTGAACCTTTATACAAATAAGATTCGAAAATCATATGAAGGTTTTCTAAGAATTATTTTAAAATTTAGAGTAATGAAATTAAATCCATTTTAAACATTGTATGAGGGATATTAACCCAAAATATGAATACCATTCCAAATTGAGCAAAATTAAAGAAAAATCCTTATGCATCCTAATTCGAAATTTGTTAATTTAAATTTTGTTAAATCTAGTTTAATATTCAATTTTAATACTCCATTTTCAATTAAAGTGAAATATTTTGAAAGAAAAATTTTAATTCATTCTTGCTTTCACTTAGTAATTTATAGATATCAGCTAGCTAGAGCTTTAATACTAATAACACTTAGCACTAATACCCAGAAGACCACTAATAATTTAAATATTTTTATGAAATTTCATTTCGATTTCTAAATTTCTGAATTGTGAATGTGACCACAGTACATTTAATGCCTTAAAAGGATATGATCTCAACTATAGTTTTTGAAATATGTACTATGAAATTTTCGAGGTTTTAAAGCAGCTACACGATCTTATCAAATCTATAACACTTCTAGGAAATATCTTAGTTAAAATTGGCCACATACATGTCAAATTTTAAATAGCCAGCTTTCAAATGTTTAACTTTCATATATTTCTTTCAAATATTTAAAATCATCTTTTAGAATTGTATGATATCTATCCGAAAATCAGTAATTTTCCATAGTATCAAAGATAATTTCATAAATTTAAAAAAAAATGCTCCAATATTCCTCAATAATTTAATTACAATATGAAATTTTAAATTTTATTCCAGCAACTTCAATAATTTTAACCACAATTTTTGATAAAAAAAAAAATATTATAATATTTTTAATAATTTAATTGTACTCAAATTATATTATTTAATTTTTGGAAAATATATGGAAAAAAAATTATTGCACACGTTTATTTTTGTTGTTTTTTTTCTGTATTTTCGAATATTTAAAATTCTTTAAATTTTAATAACATGCTCATACT